CCCCGGGTGACGCGGTGGCCTCCGGCGCTGCCCTCCCCGCCGGGCTCCGCGAGCGGCGGGCTGGGTCCTGACGTCACGCCGGTTTCTTTGCCCTGGGGCGACATTTTCAAGGGCTCCGCGAGCCTTCTGGTCGCCCTGCAGGACGAGCGCAGGTGCAGCGTGGATGCGACGGAGCCGTGTAGGTGGGCCCGAGTCCAGGGCCCCGGGAGCGGGTCATCGAGGTCGTCCGTGGTCCGCAGGGCTGGAAGCGGGCCAGGGCCACGTTTGGCGTCTCTGCCGGCTGCGATCCGTGCACCGGGAGGTTTTTCAGGACTGCTCGATTGCGGGCCTGAGCCATTCCCTGTGAGCGCTACCTTTCCCCCAGAGACCGAGCTTGCCTTGGTAGCACAGCACTTGACTGTCTTGTAGCATTTCCAGTTATTTTTAATTTTTTTCTTCTCATATTTTAAGAAGCCTGATTTTCTATTAATTTCCCAGAACAAGTATATGTTATGGCACTTGGGTTTATCATGGAGCTCTGTAAAAATGTACTACCAAAAATACTTCATGTTACTTTGTGAATTAGGATCATTTTACAGAGAATGGATCATTATGTTGGATAGAGGCAAAAAAAAAAAAAATATGAATTGGATTCACTTCCAAAGTGCCCTGGAGCAAAAAGATGGCTTATCCCTAATGTGTGAATGTTCTCACTCATAGAGAAGGTATATGTATTTTTTTTCTTCCAGAATGTTGGCTACCAGGGTCTTTAGCCTAATCGGCAAGCGAGCCATTTCCACCTCTGTGTGTGCACGAGCACATGGTAAGTCTGACTTTCCTTTAAAATGGGCTGAGCCCATTATTTTGCTCCTGCTGTGTACCAGGCCCTGTGCTGGGGTTTCAGGGATGCCTATGATCTTGGTCTTGGAGTTGCTGGACTGCAGGGGGATATGGATACTTCAGCAGGGATTATATTGAGGTCTATTTATGAATCATGTTAAATATTAGTGGGGGGTCCTTGCTTATGTTGTTATTTCCCCATTTTCCTTTCTGGTTTTTCAGGTTCCAGTTCTACCCCTTTCAAAAGGTCTCACTACATCTGACTTTAGTGACCCCCCTACCCCGACTTCTGTTTGCACAGTAGAGGCACTGGAAGCAAAAGAGCTTGGATGTCCACCTGAGCTGGGTTGGAATCCTATTTCTGTCGTGACTAGCTACTTAAGTTTAAATTTAAGAATCTCACCTGAAATATATAGAGGTTAGTTCTGTGCCTGGCATATAACCAGTTGTCGCTCACAGCTGGAGTGGAGGGAGCTCAGCTCCTCCAGATCTCCTGCAGAGACCCATCCTGGTTGAGGACAGGAACACAGAAATTCTTTAGAATGTGGAATCCTTTTGCTTTTCTATCCGTTTTTTTAAAAAAAGAATGGTGTTTCAGCCTTTGCTTTCCTCTTTCATTTACTGGGGAATCAGGCCCAAGGCTCTGAAGAGCCCAGGAGATTGTCAGTTGGCTGTTCTTGTTTTAAAATATGCTGTTTTATGGCTAGTGTGCTCCAAGGCTATGAGACTTTATGTCTTTATAACAGCTTTATGAGTTGTAGTTCACTGACATATTCATCCAATTAAACTGGTCTTTAGACCATTCACTGATAGGTGCCATTGTTTCTGCTGTTGAATCTAGAACATTCTCATCGGTCCAGTTTGTATCTCTTCAATAACTCTTAACAGCTAGAGACTTTGGTTGGGGGCGTGCTGAACTTGGTAAGCTTTCTAGTCTGCTTGTTTTAATTGGGAACTAGTTCTGGCCATTTTCACTCCAGATCCTTTTGGGGTGGGGGCAAGTGCATTTATGTAAGTGTGCCGGTGGTCTGCTGGCTTGGGATCAACACCTGGAGGAGCTGCACTGTTGCTCAAGGCTCAGTGTCTTATTGCACGACTGTGTGACTTGGGAGCCTCTAACCATGTGGCTGAGTTGGTGGAGGGAGAGCATTTTTTTCAGGGCTCTGTCTCTCCAGACCAGTTTGGGACATACATTGATCTTGCAGCAGAACAGAACTGGAGAAGCGCTGTCAGAGGGGATTCTGAAGTGAAAACAGCTTCTTCTTCTGTCCTGCGCTGTGCCTGCAACACACAGTACAGGCGCATTTTAAGCAGAGTGAGGGGTCTGCAGACCGATCTCTCCTCCTCCCACTCGCGATAGCTAGGTTTTACCCAGCCAGAAGTTTTTGCCTATTTCGTTGCACACATGTGATTCACGTGTGTACATGATTTACGTTTTTCAAAAGGAAAACAAAACAGCACCAGCCTTTCTGTGACCCACTGAGTGCTTGATTCCTGTGCCTGTGGTTCTAGGACCGCTTCATTCACTTAGTGCCATGGCCTGTCTCCTGCACAGGAGCATTCCTGTCATGTAGTTTACACAATTCGTATCTTGTTTGTCCCCACTTCTAGAATGAGGTCTTTGATTGGCTCACTGGCAATCCCATACATCTAGAGCCACACTTAGCAGGCAGTAGGTGCTTGGTAAGTTGGTGAAGAATGAGCAGGAGACTCTGATACCCTTTCTAAAGGGTTGGCGCAACTTCTGAGCCAGTCCTCAGTTGGGCACAGTGATCCCCATAATGCTGCTGCCATGGCCCCTTTTCCTGTGCCTAGGTTTCTGAACTTGGAACGCTTGTTCTTCTGCCTTTCATGTTGCCTTTGTTCTTATCAGTTTGAATCCCTTGCAGTAGGGCTGTCCTGGATCCATTCTCCCATCCAGGCAGGGAACCCTGTCCAGCTCTTATGATAACCGCTACAGGAAGTGGTGCCAGGGTTCATGCTGTGTATCATGCTTCCACTTCACCACCGGCCACCGTTCTCATCCAGATGTCCACCCCATGTGCTTCCAGGGAGCGTGGTGAAGAGCGATGACTTTGCTCTGCCCAGTTATGTTGACCGGCGTGACTACCCCTTGCCTGACGTGGCCCATGTCAGGCAGCTGTCCGCCAGCCAGAAGGCCCTGAAGGAGAAGGAGAAGGCCTCCTGGAGCAACCTGACCAGGGACGAGAAAGTTGAGTGTGGGTATCAAAGAGCAGGCTGGCACACCCAGCAGCACCGGGCAGCGCGTGGCGTGGATTCCTTATTGAGCACTGCTGGGTGCTCGCTGACTGTCCTGGGGCCCCAGCTCCCTGGGGAGGGGTGGAGGGGGTAGCTACAGCCTCAGAGTAGACATGGTGGGTAGGACTTAGCTTAACTGTAAATTGTGGCAAGAAGACCCCTACAAGCCTCTGTTCCTTATGAAAGGGGCCTGGAAAGAATGTGACAGAGCAGACCCTCACATGGATCCAAAGGAAACGTCATCCCTTCGTCCCTCCTCCCCTCAGGTGCTGTCGTGAGGGCGTGTGTGCACACGCAGGGGTCTTAGGGCCAAGGCTGCGCCATCATCTTCGGCTCCTTGTTTCCTCCCTTGGCTGTGCCATGGGGAGGGGGTGAGCCTGTGGAGGAGGGATGTGGCCACTTCAGGCTCTTTATGCCTGCAAATGGCTCTTCCTTCTGTCCCAGTGTATCGTATTCAGTTCAACGAGAGCTTTGCTGAGATGAACAGGGGCACCAACGAGTGGAAGACTGTGGTGGGCGCAGCCATGTTCTTCATCGGCTTCACCGCCCTCATTCTGATCTGGGAGAAGCGCTACGGTGAGTGCAGTGTTGCGCCCAGGGAAGCCCCCACCCGCAGTGCCCAGGAGTGTGCTGGCAGGACCTGCACACTGCCTTGGAGCCAGAGGTGGGCACTTCCGTTTCAGGGTCTATCCCAGGGTGGTGTTGGGGGTCTGGGGACATTGAAGTGGTAGGAGGTTGGTTTGAAGCTGGAGTCACCCTTCATGGTTGCACATCCTGTGTGAGCGAGTACTTGCTGCTTTGAGCAGCATGCCACCACCTCTCAGTGGCAGCTCGATGGCTCACCAGCCAGGTGTCCGGAGGTGCCTGGCAGGCGCTGGTCCTGGCAGCTGCCTGGGTCGTGGTGCTGCACCTCAGCTGTAGCCCGGGCCTCAGGCCCCCTCCCGCAGGCTCCATGGGGGCCCACTCTAAGGCAGCTTCTGCCTTTTGAGTGTGCATTCCTGTGCTTCAGGTTTGAGTGGGGATGTGGTTAATGGCACACCAGCCTTGTCTGGTCTTCCCGGTGCCATCGGCCCCGAGTGCCTTGTGCTAGCCTGGGGTCCTTGCTGCCCATGCCTGTGGAGATGTG